TGGCTAGACCACCTGAAGCAATGCAGCATTGCCACCGAATCCTGGAAGGAAGGATAACAGGACGGCTGTTACATTAAACGACGTAGCTGTAACAGACCCGAAGAGGTGCGCGAGTTTAACCGAACAGTTATGGTGGCACTAGACCTATCGAAGGCCGTCGATACCGTCAACCATGCCAAGCTGTTCGAAGATATAGAGAGGACAAATCTCCGACCGTGTTTGAAACGTTGGATAATAAACTATATGAGTAGACGCCAGTCGTATGTGGAATTCAGAAACAGGAGGTCTAAACCCCGTAGAGTGAAACAGGGAGTTCCCCAAGCAGGGGTGATATCTCCGGAACTGTTTAACCTCTACCTTTCTGATATTCCACAACCACCGGACGGCATAGAGATCGTAATGTATGCGGATGATTGCACGATCATGGCGTCGTATTGATGAGATATGTGAGAGGCTAAACGTCTACATAGCCGATCTTGTTAACTTCTTCCATCTAAGGAATTTGAAAATATCCGCCACCAAATCAACAGCCAGACTGTTCACCACATGGATGAACAGTGAACATAATAGTCGATGGAGAATTGATTCCGACCACCAACTACCCTAAGATACTGGGAGTAACGTTCGACAGCCTTTTCATGTCGTCCGCGCAAGCCACTGCTTTATGCGATAAGCTGAGAAGTAGGAACAAGGTACTAAAGTCGCTAGCCGGCAGCACTTGGGGCGCTGATCTGTTTAAAGTAATGTCTGCGTTCGGCATTCCTGCAAAATTAATACGACTATGCAGGATAACTTTAACTGGCACAAGATCAGCAGTTAAAGTCGGAAAGGACCTCTCGGAGCCCATTGATACCGAACGAGGATTCAGACAAAGTGACCGTTTGTTGTGTGCCCTTTTTAACATCCTGCTGGAAAAGGTCATACGAGAGGCAAAAGTGAACAGAAATGGCACTCTATGCACCAAACATATAATTGGTCGAACATTGAGAGCGGTAACAGCCAACTTTGAACAAATTAAGAAAGAGTCAGCCCAAGTGGGTCTGGTGGTACATAGCGAGAATACCAAGCTGATAGTATCAACGCGCAAGACGTCCAGTAGACTCGGGCCAACTGTGGAACTTGAAAACTATACCTTCGAGGTAGTAAACGATTTTATATACCTCGGTACCGCCATAAACAAAACTAATAACATAAGCTTTGGAATCCGGAGGAGAATAGTGTTGGCAAACAGATGCTACTATGGTCTGAGTAAGCAACTCGAAAACAAGGCCACTTCTCGCCAGACCAAACTCACACTCTACAGGACGCTGACATTACCCGTGCTGTTGTAAGGATCTGAAGCATGGGTACTTGCGTAAGCAGATGAGGCAGCTCTTGGAGTGTTTGAGAGAAAAATTCTCCGGAAGATCTATGGGCCGATCTGCGTCACACCATCTATTTTCGAACATTGACATATTCAGACGGATCGAGCTGCAGCGACTACGTTGGCTAGACCATCTTGTGAGAATAGATGAATATGCCCCAGCTTAAAAGGCATATAAAAGCGAGCCAAGTGATGGTTCACGCAGAAGGGGAAGACCACGAATCCGATGGAAAGATCAAGTAAAAGACAACATCTCGGAAAATTGGATGAGATGCGCACAAGACCATCGTTAGACATACTCCATTTTTATAGATTTTATGTAAAATTAATAAACTTGTAGTTATGTCAGTTTGCATTTATGTTGACGATTTACTTTAAACAACTCTATTCTGAGAAAGGAATGACAAACGAACGAATGACGACGAACAAACTATTAAAAAATACCAATCTTATTATGAATATTTCGTGATATGATTAATGATGTGTATATGTATACTTAAAATTATATCAGTAATAACATGCACTGTATACCAATATGTTAGTAAATATTTCAAAATTACATGCTCTCAAATTAATTTTGATGTAATCAAAGCTATCTAGGATTAATATAAAATTATTGGGTATTTCTGGTCAACTTTTCAAAAGTCAATGAATTCCAATAATATTTCGGAATTATTTGAAAAACAATTTGAACTTTTGAAAACAACAACCAACTTTGTCCAAAAGTGTGTGAGTAATTAGGTAAGTGGATGCAATGAATGATTCGATTGTGATGGTGCTGGGGATATGTTTGGAAAAGTGTGTATAGAACAAATTTAAAAAAAAAATCTATCTACGGTGTAATTAATATCTGTGTAGTGCTGCTGTGGTGCTCACTCAATGGAGACTTGGTAAAAAGTGTTACAAACATTTATTAAAAAACTAAAAATGTTATCATTCAAATTATTGTTGTTTATCAATAAATTTTTTGTAAGTCAATTATATAAAGCTTTGTTGTGTACTGTATATTAATTGCATTAATTTGTTTGTTATTACTAATCGATATCATCATCAAGTGTGCAAAATTGAAAAATATGTGTGATCTGATTTGGCATTTCAACATACTGTTTATAATACTACATTGCAAAAAGTAAATACAAAAAGAAAAAAATAATAACAAAAGAGAAAATAATATTGTATGTAATTATATTTTGTTTCTAACCTATGATTATTTTTCCTTTGCCATCGGTCTCACACTCGTATGCATTTCCAACTGAAGTTTCTGTTTCAACAATGGGTTTCAAATTTTTACGAGCATTCTCTGTGGATATTTGTAAATGGTTTGTGGTTTTTTGTTTTGTTGGGGGATTTTTTTTCCAAAACATATTTAAGTGAGGGATGATGAATTGAATTTCGAGCGGGAACAAATAAATCGTTAAGAAAAGAAGAAGAATGTTATTTGTCAGTCGGTTATGGATGATTGTATTAAAATTAAGTAGATGAATTCTAAATAAGTAAAAATAAAATAAAATGCAGTTGCTGTAATTTTTAGTAAAATTTTGACAAAGATAAATTCATTACAAAAAAGTTTATCATTAATATTATTCTAGGGTTTAATATATTAATCACAATAAAAACAAAGAAACCATTATATAAAACCGTTGTTATTTATAAAAGTTAATTTCACGAAATATCAATTAAAAACATCTACACACAAATTACAGCCATTGCATAATTTTTAATTTCAACTGTTTGTGTTAATTTCAACTGCTAAACAAAAATAACAACAAATAAATTAATTTCGATTATGTTTTTATATGTGTCAAAATAATTTTTAGTAAAAATATATTTTATGATTAGTTATTGTTTTTTAAATTAAATTTAATGTAGTTTTTTTTTTTATTATTTTGTAGATTTGTGTTTCACCAATTATTAAACTTAAAAGGCTAACATCACTCTTGTTAACAAAATAAACACACACACACAACGTAAGTGGATGAAGATGTTTTGTCACATCTCCATTTGTTAATTGTAAAACGAATCACAAAAAGACTGTAAGAAAAGGAATTAAAACATTGATTGATAAGAACACAAATTAGAAAAAAATTAATAAATTAAACCAATTTGGTGGACATCATCACATTTAGGCTAACACGAGGAGGAAAACGTAAATTTCGATTTTGATTTGGGATTAGATTGAGGATCAAAGTACCAATTAAAAATAGAAATTAAAATTCTAAAATACCTGTTGTTATGGCTGGTGTCCATTCTTGTTCACCCGTAGCACCCCAAAGGAAACTTTTTGCTGGTATAGTTGTGCCATTTTGGTTTGGTGTAAAACCGGAGGAATTCAATAAGGAATTATTACGTTTCCTTGATGCTGTAGAATATGTCATATGTTTATTACTTATTGTTATTGTACATATATGGAATGATTAGTTATTGTACCTTCAAATTTCTCTACATCTCCAGTAAAACTATTTGAGAATGATCGACTTAAAGTGGAACAATTCGATGTATGATCGTATTCCATGGAATTGTAGCATGATGAATAATCATTATCATTATTGTTGATGGTATTGTTGCAATTTTGTTTGGCCGGCACCGCTTGATAATGATGTTGTTGAATGAGAACGCCAGTAGGTCCCTGAAAATAAGAAAAGTAAAGTTCGATAAATAGCTTTAATAAAGCTCACAGGTTGTGAATTTAGATAACTGTAACATAAATAAACAGTGGACAAGTGCCAATGTTACCCTGATCGATGATGTGGAAATTGGGCAACCTATATTTAAGAAATCATTACGAACGTTTCTGACACGGACATCTCAAAAACTTATCCCACCATCATTCTGTGTGGGATTGCATTTTTTAAATTAAGAAAAGATCCTCAACCGATATTTTAGAGAATTTCTCCTTGACACCGCCTCAAAGCGGAAATATTTATATATTAAGTTTTGTCACACAGTTACAGTACATTCTCAATTCATACAGAAAGAATGTTCAGAATCTGAAGCGCACAGGAAAAAAAAACCCAGGCTAAGAGGATCCGTCTGGTTGGGATCTCAGATAAGGAGTCCGCAGCAAGGTTGGCTCCTTCCCAGAGTGCACCAAAGCCTTCGAAAGTTCTCACGAGGAAATCTCTCGATTTCCTGTTCAAGCAGTTTATGACTTTGGCACCCTTTTGCATGAAGGCATTGCCAAACTGACGATACCCTGATACGACCCACAGACGATAGCCGACCGGAGGGCTGCTTCAAAGAGCAACCAATGACTGTCACTAATCCTACCATAAGGATCAGATTTGTCAATGATTGCCACTTAAAGGTCTTCGTCAGCTGCTACCGTGGTCGGTCTGTCATATGGCTTCCTCTGTCTCTGACCACGAACCTTGGATTTAGCTTTTCCAGAGGCTGTTTCTCCGCAATTTGTTTTGTCCAGCGACAGCCGCATATGAGGTAGATGGGTCAGTCAGACGCGAAGTCAGCGTCTTCTTGAGTGAAGGTTGCGGACCTTCTGATGAGCGAATGCGCTTCACAAATTTTCTCTCCCAGGAGACACTGGTTCCTTGCAAGACTTGCCCTTCTTTCCTATTCTGACCACTGGTGGATCCACGCAAAGCTTTAGCACCAACCGCTTCACCTTTGTGACCATATTAATTTGCCATACCGGTTTATAGACTTAGATGACTTACAAATAGCGCTCATTTCAAAGGCGTTATCCAAAGGAAAAACTGTCTTCAAAGGAAAGATTATTGGAGCGAGTTATATGTCGTTTTAGTAAAAACATTTCTTCTATCAAAATTCCATTTAAATAAGATGTGTTTAACTGTGACACATAATTTGAATAATTACAATTTCCCCCATAGTAAAGGATATGGGAAATTACAAAATTCTTTTAAAATTCATTTAAAAAAATTTGAATTTTGTTTTGCGAGCACATTTACGATTTTTGGTACATAGGTTAAGAAAAATATGCTGATTCTAAATCTGTTCGCGTTCACAAATTCGGATGTTGCGCACAAAAGTTAAAGCGGTTTATTTTATTTTTTGTAATTCGCGAATTTCTTCACAAATGGTTAAACACATTTGTTTTCTTTGCAGTACTACACCTTTTTCACATGTTATTCAAAACATATATGTAATTCGAGAATCCCATTTGTTATTCATAACATACAATTTCCAATTCGAGAATTCCATTTGCAATTCATAACATATCAGTTGTACTTCGAGAATTTCATTTGTAATTCATAGAACACCTTTCGAAATTCGCAGAATTCCATTTGAAATTCGTAAAATTCCATTGGAAAATCATAAAACTCCATTTGAAATTACTAAAATTCCATTTGAAATTTATAAAATTCCATTCAACTTTCAAATAAATTCAATTGAAATTCGTAATATTTGATTTGAAATTAATAACATTTAATGTTAAATTGGAAAAATGTTATGGGAAACACCCAAAATATGTATAACACATTAAGGTGGGTAATAATGTATGTACATATTAATGTAATACACTTTATAATTTTATATACTTTATATATACTTTATACTTTTTTGCATCATGAACTTTAATGTATGTATTTCAATTTCAATTTCTTTATTGCGTGTAAGTCCTGATTTATATTAGGCGAGTTTACTTGCGGCAATTTTTATCGTTCTCTTTTGAACTTGCTCCATGCGTCTATACAAGGCAATTCGGTTTCCAAAATATTTTTTTATTTGTTGTTTTTTCACATTTAAATATATATAAAATGTCAACAAATACGAAATACACAAAACGAATTGCCAGAAAATTGTAGGTACGAGCAATTTTTTTTTTTCATTTCTATACCCCTTGCCCCTCTCTCCTACAAACAAAGACTTGCCGCAAGTAATCTCGCCTAATCTAAATCAAGACTAATATGGATATTTGTACAATTTTCGATGCTTATATATAGATACAAGAGGTTAGGAATTTATAATTCCTTTTCTACTTTAACATTGTTTGATGTATAATTAAGTGAGTTGATAACAGATAATATACGTTTTCAGGGAAAAGCGCAAGAAAACCCCTTTTTGAACAATTTTTTGGGTAGAATACGTTAAATTTATAAAATTATGATGATATTAAATCATTAATGTGGGACATTGGGACATTTTACATCTATCTATAAAATGTTCTGTGAGTCTGCTGATCTTCTGTTGAATAGTCTCAAAACCTGTCAAACAGTGTAATCGTTGTGTAGAATATAACCATGGAAGGTTATATATCATTTTAAGAATTTTGTTTTGACAGATTTGTAATTTATTTATGTGGCATTTTGCAGAGGATGACCATACTGGGGCACCATAAAACATTAATGGTTGAAAAATAGCTTTATACAGTATTTTTCGGTTAATTGGTTTCCACGCATTATTGAACCACATGATGGGGCAAAAAATATTTCATAGGAAAATACATGTAAATTTTCTCGGATAATTAAACACGCTTAAATGGTTCATAATTCATGTCATCAAAAATAAATTTCCTTTTACTTTTCACCGGTTAATTGCATAATAATAATTGAAAAATAATCTGCCATTTTTTTACATACATATTTGACAAAATTTGTGAAAAAGACTAGGTGGCATCTCTACTAATTCAAAAGATATGTTTATGGCTAAGGAAAAATTGCGAAAAAGCGTAATTTGTATTTGACATTGGATTTTTTTTAACCATTAGTAGTTCCAAATATTGGTAATTGAACAAACTATTCAATTAAGCGGGTTCGGATAATTGGTTCCTCGGTTAATTGAACAAAAATTTGTGCAAATTTTGATGTGCAATAAACCGAAAAATACTGTATATAAGATTCATATTTTCAATCCTCAGCTCCGATCTTCTATTAATTAATGGATACATCAGTCTAGTGATTTTGTTTTTTTTTTTATCCACAATAAATAGTATGTGACTCTTGAAATTCATTCGGGTATCAAGCATGATGCCTAAATATCTAACATCACTTTTCCATGAAATGTCCTGGGTTTTAAAAAGAATCAAAAGATATGTTTATGGCTAAGGAAAAATTGCGAAAAAGCGTAATTTGTATTTGACATTGGATTTTTTTTAACCATTAGTAGTTCCAAATATTGGTAATTGAACAAACTATTCAATTAAGCGGGTTCGGATTAATTGAACAAAAATTTGTGCAAATTTTGATGTGCAATAAACCGAAAAATACTGTATATAAGATTCATATTTTCAATCCTCAGCTCCGATCTTCTATTAATTAATGGATACATCAGTCTAGTGATTTTGTTTTTTTTTTATCCACAATAAATAGTATGTGACTCTTGAAATTCATTCGGGTATCAAGCATGATGCCTAAATATCTAACATCACTTTTCCATGAAATGTCCTGGGTTTTAAAAAGAATCGAACGCTGGGGAAGAAATTGCGAACAGCGTTTTCTGCTGAAAAATATGGCTTACGTTTTGTCTGTGTTGAGAAGAATTTTCCATTTGAAAAAATAGTTGTCTAGCTGAATTAAAGCAGCTTCTAAACAGTCAATGATATTACAGGATAACGTGCCAGCACTGAGTATCGATGTGTCATCTGCAGAAATGGAAGCTGTACATCCTCGTAGAATAGGAATGTCGGAAGTGAATATGTTGTATAATATAGGTGAAAGGCAAGATCCTTGAGGACATCCAGCAACAATCGATTTTTTCACTGAACAATATGCACCTATGGACACAAAGAATGTTCTTCCACAGAGAAAACTTTGTATTAGTTTAATTATTGCTATAGGGAAGTTTAATTAATACATCTTGTAGACAAGACCATTGTGCCATACAGAATCAAAAGCTTTGATATCCAATAAGACCATACCAGTAGATTTGCCAGAGGAAAAGTTATCATGAACAAAATTTCTTATTTTAAACAAAGGTTGGTTTGTGTTGTGTTCTCTCCTGAATCCAAATTGCTGAGGAGGAACAATACTGTTTCGATCAATAAAATTAATTATTTTTTCTTTGATAATTTGTTCCAAAATTTTCATTATTGATGACAAAAGGCTAATAGGTCTATAATCCGAAGTAGAATTGCCAGATTTGTTTGATTTTTTAATGGGAATGGTTTTTGCACATCTCCATACATGTGGGAAATAACTCAACCGTAAACAGGAATTTATAATTGAAGTTAATACTGCAATTCCATTAGGAGGTAAGTTCTTCAAACAAATATTGTTTATGCCATCCATACCAGGCGATTTTCTTTTTTTCAACTTCTTCAGAATTTCACAAGTATTTTCAACGCGTACCACAAATTCGTCAGACAGACTAAATATGCTTTTTTGGACCTTTACAGCAATTCTATCCACTTCATCAATAGTATTCTTATCACTTAGGTGTGATGATAAAGAATGATTCCTGTGAAAATGTTGAGCTAGTATTTTACATTTATCCTTGGATGTAATGTAAGACGTATTATTGTTTGAAATAGTGGGAATCTGTTTATTTTTCCTTTTTAGCTCCTTGGAAATGTTCCAAAACGGTTTAGATGCTTTGTCCAAAGTAGATAACATTTCATTCCATGAACGATTCCTGTGGTCAAACAATTCCTTCTTAATTTGTTTGTTGAGCCGATTCATTTGGTAACGGTCGTTTGTATCACGAAAGCGTTTA